TTGGTCCTCTTTTGGAAGACCAAACAAAGAAGTTTCGCTTTCACAACGAAACACACGGCGGCCTAGAGTGAGCGGTCGCGTGCGGGGGCGGGCTTGAGAACGGCGCGGCCGGCAGGATTGCGGCAACCACATGTGACGACCCCGGGCTGGACTCCGCTTCGTCCACAGTGAAAGCCGATCCAGCGATCCACAGCGCGAAGTTGATGTATTTCCTCACGACCAGCACGGATCAGCTCTAGGCATGACGAAGCGGATATCTTCCTCTTTTGGAAGGCCAAACAAAGTAGTTTCGCTTTCACAACGAAACACACAGCGTCTTCACAACATGGCGGCAGCAACAATACTACAGCGAGAATAAAAGTTACGCCTTCTTTCTTTGCGTGAACATTTGGGCGGCGTTATGCAAATCTTCCCACATCGTGATGTAGATATGTGGGGGCGTGTTAGAACGAGTCGTTTTAGGTAGGCGTGGTTGACTCTTAACTTTTATAAAGAATATCTCTTTGGATTTGAGACTTTAGTCTTTGCAACTTTACAGATCTTCTTTATGCACCAAGAGCTTGTAAAAAAGGAAAAATTGAAATCGCATCATATGACCCCTTTAAATTGTGTTCCGAAGATGAACAAAGGTCTTACGGGTTTGGAACAACATGATAGTGAGTAATTAATGACAGAATTTTCATTTTTGGGTGAACTAACCCTTTAATGTCTGTCTTAAAAAGTCAAATTTTTATAAAAATGCTACAATCTCATAATTTAAGATGTAAATATGTAAAACCTGTCTGAATTAAATTTTATGCAAGGTTACATTTTTAATTAAATTTGCAGTTTGAAATTGACTTTCAGACGATTGAGATTGGTAAAATTTTTTAATGTTTTTAATGTTCTCATGCTCAACAAGGCTGCATTTATTTTAACAAAAATACAGTAAAAACAGTAATATTGTGAGTCTTCAGTGTCACATGATCCTTCAAAAATCATTCTAATATGCTGACTTTGTGCTCAAGAAATATTTCTTATCAATTTAAAAAATATTTTTGTGGAAACTGATACATTTTTGATGAATAGAAAGTTCAAAATAATAGCGTTTATTTGAAATAGAAATATTTTGTAACATTATGAATGTCTTTACTGTCACATTTGATCAGTTTAATGCATCCCTGCTCAATAAAAGTTATAATTTCTTTCAAAAACATAAAAAATGTACCGACCCCAAACTTTTGACCGGTAGTCTTTTTGTTTTAGTACATTATACAATTTTTGAGCTTTCCACTATGCTTCTTTTTCAGTCTTTGCTATATTTATGTTTCATTGTCTGATGATAATAATGCTTTAACTCTTTGTCAGGTGTTAAAATTGGTCTCAGACTTGCGGGACCACCCAGTGGCAGTACTGATGGCTGAGGGTCATCCTGTAGTGATCAGCTCAGATGATCCAGCTCTGTTTGGGGCCACTGCCCTTTCACACGATTTCTACGAAGCCTTCATGGGTTTTGGAGGAATGAGCTTTAATTTAGGCACATTGAAAGAGCTGGTCATAAACTCCCTCAGGTAACAGATAACTACAACTGTCATATTTTAGGATTAATACAGACATTACTTATACGCTTTTTGGTCATTAGTATAATCTACAACCAGGCTTTGCTGTTTATTTGTAACTTATTTGTCCTTTTGCTCTTCATTTCTAGGTACAGCTCGTTGCCAAGTCAAACAAAAAAAAAGGCTATTGAGGTAATGCTGGTAAAATGGGACAAGTTTGTCTTGGAAAGTTTACTGTAGACGACTTTAACAGGTAGTCTGTAAATCAGGACATTTTAAACATGCTCTAAGGGCATTTTTTACAGGATGTTTTCCCCATTTGTTTGTCATATTGGTGAACATACTGGGGTGTGAATGCTGCAATTTACACTGTTACTTGGTGTGAGGAAATGAATGTATCATCTTGAACTAGCCTGTGCTGCCAGCTGGTGCAGAATCTGTGTACTAATCGTCTGTACTTCCATTGACTCTAGTGCTTGCACCTTCAGGCTGATGACAGCAGTTTTGTATGCAATTTTGTAAATACTAATCAAGATTTTAGATTTTTAGACAGCAAAGTGACACAACATATAGGTGTTAACAGGGTAGACCACTTCAGGACACCTGTTAAACAATAAAAACTGTGATGTACAATGTCAATTAATTGTTTTATTTGAAAAAGTAGTAATTAAAGGTATTTTATACCTTTAAAAAATAAATAATTCTGAAAATGTACTCACCTTCAGGCCATCCAAGATGTAGATGAGTTTGTTTCTTCATCTTGCTCACCAATAGATCCTCTGCAGTGAATGGGTGCCGTCAGAATGAGAGTCGAGACAGCTGATAAATACATCACAATAATCAACAAGTAATCCGCACCACTCCAGTGAGGCAAAAAGTTGCATGTTTGTAATAAATCCATCAATACAATTTTTTAACTGCAATTTGTTGCTCCCAGCTAAAATCCTTCATCCATAATATTGCTTTCTCCAGTGAAAATGTCTGGTCTGAATCAGGAGAGAAATACGCACAGATCAAGCACTGTTTACAAGCGAAAAAAAGCCCTAAACCGTTCTAAACAAATATGTCAGTGGATTTTGATGTAAGAGGACAAAAGGGGATAGACTTTTCACTGGAGAAAGCGTTATGGATTATGGATTTTGGCCAGAAGTGAAGGTTTGAAGTTAAATTCCTTAATGATGGGTTTGTTTCTTACAAACACACAGCTTTTTGCGTCAAGAAGTTAATTGATGGACTGGAGTCATATGGATTATTGTGATGTTTTTATCAGCTGTTTGGACTCTCATTCTGATGGCACCCATTCACTGCAGAGGATCCATTGGTGAGGAGGTGATTTAATGCTCAACCAAGCCTGTTCCAATGAAGAAACAAACTCATCCAAATTTTCAGCAAATTTTCATTTTTGGGTGACCTATTACTTTTGAGTTTTTAAAAGTACATTTTGACTTTAACAACCTTGGCAGGCTGACTTTAGTTACCTGATTTCAGTTGTTTATGAATATGCAACTCATTTTGATTACAACATGAATGTTTTTCATCTTTTTTTTTTAAATACAAGAATTGGGGAAAAAAGTTAATTGTAAAAATGTTATTTATTAATGTAGTCATTGTATGAATAAATAATATTTTTTATATTTTTAATAACAGATCCAGACCAAAAAAAAAAAAGATGTTCCTCACAGAACTCACCATAGACTTTCAGTTCATTCGCTTGGCGTTGGTCTTGCTCTCTTCGTTCTTTAAAGGGGTCATATGATGCGATTTAAATTTTTCCTTTCTCTTTGAAGTGTTACAAGTTCTTGGTGCATAAAGAAGATCTGTAAAGTTGCAAAGACTAAAGTCTCAAATCCAAAGAGATATTCTTTATAAAAGTTCAGAGTCAGCCACGCCTACCTAAAACGGCTCGTTTCCTGACACGCCCCCACATGTCTACATCACGATGTGGGAAGATTTGCATAATGCCGGCCAAATGTTCACGCAAAGAAAGAAGGCGTAACTTTTATTCTCGCTGTAGTATTGTTGCTGCCGCCATGTTGTGAAGACGCTGTGTGTTTCGTTGTGAAAGCTAAACTACTTTGTTTGGCCTTCCAAAAGAGGACGATATCCATATGGACGATATTTCACCGTGGATGAAGCGGAGTCCAGCCCGGGGTCGTCACATGTGGTTGTTGCAAGCCCGCCCGCCGCTCACTTAAGGCCGCCGTGTTTCGTTGTGAAAGCGAAACTACTTTGTTTGGCCTTCCAAAAGAGGAC